CTGACTATGCTCCCTTCCCTGCCATGCCCCATGGAGAGGTGCTGCCCCCGTAGGGTAGCTCCTAGCCACATGTGGCTGTTTAAATGTAAATTAATTACAATTAATAAAATAAAAATTCAGTTCCCAAGTTGCACTAGCATATTTCAAGTACTCTTTAGTCACATGTGGCTAGGGGCTGCTGTGAAGAACTTGTCTATCACAGAAAGTTCTATTAGACAGCTCTGCATAGGATTAACCATCCCCTTCTCTGGGTTGCCTCTTCCTTTGATATTTCCATTATTGCACTTATAATATTTTTTATTTATTTATGTATATGCTTCCCTATCAGACAGTGAATGTTTAGAGGGCAAAGATGTATCCTCTTCATTTCTATATATTTGGTTTTGAGTTGGGTTTAGTTTATTATAGGTATTCAACAAAATTTTGAGTTGAATTGACTCAGTGAATTTTAGAAAGGAGAATAGCCCCTACTTGAGGACTTCTAGTAGTGAAACAGCCACATGGCAGCATGTTGCATATGTATATATTCACAAATAATGTATATTTAGTATATGTAATTTTTGTATGACATATATATTTAGAGAAACAAATTATTTGTGTATGTATATATACATGTTTGTACACACACAGACAATTTTCTTGCTGACCCTAAATACTTTAGTTATATTTCCTAAGAATAAGGATATACTTTGCATAACTATCTTACCATTCACATGTAAGAAAATTACCATTAATATGAAATTTCTCCAGTTGTTCTTCAAATAAGCAATCTAACCTTACACGTAAAGAAACTAGAAAAAGAAGAACAAACAAAACAAAAAGTTAGTAGAAGGAAGGAAGTAATAAAGATATAAACAGAAATTAATGAAATAAAGACTAAAAAAAATAGAAAAAATCAATGAAACTAAGAGCTGGTTCTTTGCAAAACAGTATGGAGGTTACTCAAAAAGATTAAAAATAAAACTACCATACAGTCCAGTAATTTAAGTTCTGAGTCTTTATCCAAAGAAAACAAAAATAGTTATTTGAAGAGATATATGCAGCCCAGTGTTCACTGTAGCATTATTTACAATGGCCAAGATATGGAAGCAACCTAGGTGTCCATCAATAGATGAATGGATAAAAATGATGTGGTATATTTATATAATGGAATATTACTCAGCCATAAAACCCCTGAAATCTTGCCATTTGTGACATGTATGGATCTAGAGGGTATCATGCTTCATGAAATAAGACAGAAAGACAGATATTGTATGATCTCACTTATATGTGGAATCTAAAAAACAAAACAAATAAACCCAATGAGAACAGATTCATAGATACAGAGAACAAATGCATATTTGCCAGAAGGGAGTGGCATGGTGGGTTGGATGAAATAGATGAAGGGGATTAAGTGGTGCAAACTTCTAATTATAAAATAAATAAGCCAGAGGACATAATATACAGGATAAAGAATATGGTTAATAATATCGTAATAGCGTTATATGGGGACAGTTAAATACTAGAATTGTTGTGGTGAGTTTCATAACAAATGTAAATAATGAATCACTATATAACTTACCTGAGACTAACATAAGATTGTACATCAACTGTATTTCAATTAATAAAAGGAAAAAATTATCTTTACTGTCAGATCATGTGAATAATCCTGTTCCCCAATAATCTTTTACTCACTGTTTTATCAACCATTAATGATCTGTCCCTGAATCATTAATACACTGATGGTTACAAAATGGTAATTTTCTAATTTTATCATTTTCTTAATATTTATTTCCTCTGTATTTCTGTACAGAATATTTTCTTTCCTTTTCTCCCTTTTCTGCTTTCCTCTTCCTGTGTCCTCCCAAACTTTTTGAGTATTTATTGTATGGAGTCATGAATTTTAAAAACTTCACTATCCAGTGTGTTATCACCATAATTATTATTTTATGCCCTTAAATCATATGATATTTTGCTAGTGGGAGCCCCTTTAAAGCTGGTGTGTGTCCTTTTATATACCTTTATTTGTTTTTGCACACTTTATTGCTTTCTGGGACAATAAACTATTCCAGATTTGCCTTGCGCTGTCTCTGCCCTAGACCTGGGCTCAGCTATTTCTGCAAGGAGCTCCTGTTTCTTTTAGTGGAGAATAGTTTCTAGGAACCAAGATCTGGTTGCAAGACATGAACATTGCTACTGAAGTGTTACTGCTTCTAGGTTCTTTCAGAGGACAGAGCTAGGAAATACATTTTTTGAAAAGTCATCAGGAGGAGGAGGAGGAGGAGCCCTCAATTTGTGTCCAGTGTCACAGAGATCTTCCTTACCTTCTGCCCTTTTATGTTTGTATCTCTCTTCTGCCAGAGGAGAGCCCTGCTTTCCAACAGCACCAGTGTGTGTACTCATTAGCTCTGTCCGTCAATTGGTATTACAACACCAGTGTTACACCACGAGCAAGCCTACTAAATAAACTTCAGAATTCCTTTGCAATTTATTTTTTTGTCCTTGGAACGCATCTCACCAAGGATGTATACTCAGAATACAATACTTGAAAGTTATGTAAATTCTTTCTTTTTTGATACACAGTTAGCTTCATTTGTTTCCGTTTTATTCTGTTTTAAGGTTTACCTTTTCATCTTTTTGAAGTGTCATTCCCATTTCAGTCCCATCTGCCCCTGTCCAACCATCCTGTAGAGGATGAGAGTGAGGCTTTTAATGACTTCTGAGTCATGTAAATCTTTTTCATAAAATTAAACTAGAAAGGATGATAATAAGTAATGACTCTCACTATCCTTAGTAATGTTCTTTGCCTTACATTTGATATTAATATTTCTAC